TGAAGACGAAGCGATCTATGACTTTTGGCGATTTTTGGTTGAGGACTCTTCTTGTCGGTTATAAAACCGCCAGAAACTTACTTTAAAATGATAATGAGATCATGATGATAATCACATCATCGATGCAGATCATCGAAGTTCAGCTCTTCTTTCCCCGCCACCAGCGTTCTTTTGTGTGTTCCGCTGGATCCAAATCGTCCTGTCGCAGAAATTCAAAGAGTGCGTGACGGCAGAGTGTTTTAATTTTTCTTAGACAAACACTGCATTGAAAGTTGCGAAGAGCCGCTACATTTCTTATTAAATAGTTTTCCAGCCCGATTCCTTCAGCAACAACTTGAATAGATTTATGCTGGATTTTATGTAACTTGGCACATGTCGTTGCAACTTTCAGGGAAGATTCCTTCGATGGATGAGCGCTTTTGAACTTTTTTTTATAGTACCTTTACTTAAGATTTATTGTTTTCGGAAAAGAAACGAAAAACAGTGCGAGAAATACGACTAGAATACGTGCATCGCGGCCAGACTTATTTGACAGCTAGTCATTCACAGTTGCGTAATATTGTTACTTTTTTTAATCCCGCTAGGCGGGAATGGCTTCCTTGTAGGCGTTCCCCTCCTCCCTGCTCCCTCGCGAGTGGTCTCGCGCAGTGTACTAGAAACCTTTTTTGAGTGTGAAGGGGTAAATGTACCTACTCCTTATTTGGTGACAATGGAAACGTTCGTAGTACGAAGAAGCCGGATTTCGCCGCTTAGTATACAGTGTATGCTACACCCCCCGGGGGGGGGTCACTTGGGAATTTTTTGGGTGGGTATGTGCCGCCCGAGACTCCAAACTGGCACCCCGTTCTAAAAAAAGATTCCCCTCAAACTGATACCCCGTTCTAGAAATGGGCCAATTTTTTATACTCCGTTCTAGAAAGTTTGTAAATTGAAATAGCCCTGTTTTTTAAAAAAAGATATTTCTTTATTTGTTCGACTTATATGTCAAATAAATGCTTCTTCATAATCAGCAACAAGCCCGTCTCTATCTCCCTCGGGTACATTATGGACTCGTTCCAGACTTCCGCCGCCTATTTATCCAAGATGGCGGAGTCAGCGCTCGCGGCTCGCGCCAAAATGCACCCGCCCTGCACGCTAAAACACAGGTTGCAACAAGAGAACAACAGTTTGCTTGTTAACGCATTGAACCGTAAAGCATTCTGTCCTCGAATAATTTCAAATGGCTGCTTACAAAACTGGAGCTTTCGTGCGTTCGAACCTCTAAAATGGTACCCCGTTCTAAAGCAGGAGCTTCAAAATCACGACCCCCGTTAGGCGGCACATGCCCGTGTAGGTAATGTATGGGAGTACCCCCCCCCCGGCTACACCACACTTGAGAACACACTTCGCCAGGAGCCCATCAAATGATTTGATGGGCTCCTGACTTCGCTAATAAGAAATGGAAGCCATGTGCACGACGTGCGCATGCAGCGGTTCCGAGATTCTATTGAACGGAGAGATTGACAGCTTTTACTTCAAGTAATATACTTTGTCAACAAGTGTGAATCCTTGATTTCTTCAGATCGAAGTGCTTACTTGAAACCAACTTCGCTTCTAGTGTGAAGCCAACAATTGCTGAGAACGCTGACAAAGGCATGGAAGTATGCAGGCTGCAGGCACGGCAATACGACTTTTTCCGAGTGTAATTGGTTGCAGCTCACTTCGTAGTCGGCGTTTGAGCAATTACTATAATATGGCTCAAAAGCATTAGGCGTAGTAGAAAGCACTCACTAGGGAGTCGCTACGGCGACCGGAAGTAAAAAAGTCCAAAAACGACGCAATGCGCATGCTTGGCAATGACCTTTCGTCGTAGCGCCAAATCATTCAACGAAGACTTGTCTTCTGACGTAGTCGCTGCTAAGTGAGTATAAAAATTCGACTTTTCTCCTATTTTTTTACGATTACTCTTCATGGTGTGCTAGAGAGAAATGGCGCTCAAAAAGCAAATCATTGTCAAGTCGCCGTCATATGCACGGCTTTTTTATTGTCGGTTGTTCACTGATGCTGGCTATCTTATGGTCTTGATTGAAAAAGTAAAGAATCACTATGCTTCGAAAGCAAGTTATGTGACTTCTTTTGGTGAGAGGTTTTGTACTCTAAATAGTTTAACTATATCAGAAGTATCAGAGGCTTTCAGTAAAAACATAATGGAAGCAAAATATTCAAAAAAAGATATGGCGCTAAGATGCCGAATCACACGCGTTCAACTTGTAAGAACTAGCTGCTGACGGTAATATAGCTGTTAAGCATTTCCGTATCCTTATTCATGAGGCTAAGTGGTTCTAATACACTATTTACTACTTTGCACGAAGAACTGTTAGACAATTGTCAAGCAAACTGTATTNAAGTGCTTACTTGAAACCAACTTCGCTTCTAGTGTGAAGCCAACAATTGCTGAGAACGCTGACAAAGGCATGGAAGTATGCAGGCTGCAGGCACGGCAATACGACTTTTTCCGAGTGTAATTGGTTGCAGCTCACTTCGTAGTCGGCGTTTGAGCAATTACTATAATATGGCTCAAAAGCATTAGGCGTAGTAGAAAGCACTCACTAGGGAGTCGCTACGGCGACCGGAAGTAAAAAAGTCCAAAAACGACGCAATGCGCATGCTTGGCAATGACCTTTCGTCGTAGCGCCAAATCATTCAACGAAGACTTGTCTTCTGACGTAGTCGCTGCTAAGTGAGTATAAAAATTCGACTTTTCTCCTATTTTTTTACGATTACTCTTCATGGTGTGCTAGAGAGAAATGGCGCTCAAAAAGCAAATCATTGTCAAGTCGCCGTCATATGCACGGCTTTTTTATTGTCGGTTGTTCACTGATGCTGGCTATCTTATGGTCTTGATTGAAAAAGTAAAGAATCACTATGCTTCGAAAGCAAGTTATGTGACTTCTTTTGGTGAGAGGTTTTGTACTCTAAATAGTTTAACTATATCAGAAGTATCAGAGGCTTTCAGTAAAAACATAATGGAAGCAAAATATTCAAAAAAAGATATGGCGCTAAGATGCCGAATCACACGCGTTCAACTTGTAAGAACTAGCTGCTGACGGTAATATAGCTGTTAACCATTTCCGTATCCTTATTCATGAGGCTAAGTGGTTCTAATACACTATTTACTACTTTGCACGAAGAACTGTTAGACAATTGTCAAGCAAACTGTATTCGTACTTCAAAGAATGAGGCCATGTTCACACTTGACAATAATAAACTGGATAGCTTTTCGTGCCGACAAGCAAAAATTATCCGGCATATATTATAAGTCGTATAGTATATATCCCATATGTGACTCTCCATTTTAGAGATCGGCGAGACCTAGCTTCGCTCCCGTTACTTATAGATATAGTTATACTTGCCGGGGGTAACTTTTTAGGTAAAGAAAGAATTCAGCGCAACGATATTTTATTGCGTGCAGAGTAGAAACAAATTCAGCTGCAAGCATTTCAGTGTAAAACATTGCATGGTATTTACATGCAGACACTGTTTTTTTCTTTTTCCATTTGCTATAATGCAGATATTAAAATCATCTTAGCTGTGACAATGGCCGCGTTTTCACACTAGAGACGGATAAAACGTCTTCAAAATCAGTGTCGGCCCGGTTGTTCAAACGGTGCATAGCGCTAACCACCGGAAATATCATGGCTATCCAATGGATAAGTATTGCTGACCTAGTAATAAACGCCCACTTCCAAATAAGCGCCTCTTATCTAATAAACGCCCTCTCTGGTACACGGTTAAAATTTTATCAGACGCGCCTCTCTAATAAAATCCTCCGCGTCTAATAGAACGGCGCCCCGAGAGAATTAGTCCAAAACACTAAAAAGTAGCAGAAAGTAGCAAAATCATTCAATTCATTCAGTTTCTTGCTTGATTAAAAAGGATTAGCGTTCTTAATTTCATCTTGATCGATAAGTCAAGTAAGGATAGACTACGATGGAAACACAATAACCCTGAGCGAGGATTCTGACATCAATGTTACGTTGCCGGGATTTCAAAGAGCGATATGGATCTCTAGACGGCCTAGACGTATCAATTGATGGAGTGGATATTCCGCTGTTTTTAAGCCCTCTTGATATTTTCGCCGAAATCATGTTAGTTTTGTTGAGATTGTTGCACCGGGCGTTTATTAGGTCATTTACGGTATCCACTGTACAAAATACCCCGGGGGGGGGGGTACTCGATATATCCCTGGATGGGGAGGTGCGGCGCGGCCCCTCATACCCTGACCCTGTCTAAGACAAATATCACTGATTTTCCTACCCTGTTTAAGACAGAATTCCGACTTTTGATACCCTGTCTAGGACATTTAATTAACATTAGAGCTTCTAAAAATTTTGCGGTTTATCGTCCTAGAAAAGATATCCTGTTTAAGACAAAAATTGATATATCGATACCCTGATTAAGACAAAAAATGATAAATTCGATACCCTGTTTAAGACAAAAATCCCGAAAAACATACCCTTGCTGGCCGCACGGGCCCATTAAGCCCTTATAAGGGAGTACCCCCCCCCGGGCAAAATACACATATAAAAACAATGCCTAATCAGTAATATACGACTCACCGGCAACAAGAGAAAAAAATAGAACTTGACATAGATATAAGATGATATAAACTAATTACCTTCTAATACAGTTACAATAAAGAGAAAAACGACAATCATAACACATTAATCCTTCAAGATGAGAAACGTTACTAACAAACTTAAGGAATAAGATAGTGCTATCCACCGGATAAATCAGTAATAAATAATAGTGAGGGAAACCAAATTCGTTATCTGCTGGATAGAGATTTATCTAGTAAATAGCGTTATCCACACCTTTTGAAAAAATTGACGAATAAAGTCAGTCGGATCGTTCGTCCAAGATTACAATCATTCCGTTTGATGCGAATCATCAGTTATACAACTTACAATCCGTCCCTAATGTGAAAACGACTAACAATTCCTTCTTTTCCAGGTCCGACAATGAACAGAGAGTACCACCGTCTAAATACTTTGGGACGGAAAGAAAATCCCAAGGAAAAAGCTGGTATTTTTTCCATTCTTTTCTACCGGTGGGTGGGGGAGATTGTTGCCATTGGCAACAAGCGCCCCATTGAAATCGACGATCTTTTCCCTTTACTGAGGGAGGACAAAACTGAAACTTCAGCTGAAAAACTCGAACGGGCATGGAACGAAGAGGAGAACGCAAAAGATGTTGGTATTACAGACAGAAGAGGTTATCGACTGTTCAGAGCTCTTATCCGTATGTTTCCTTGGACTTACTATGTGTTTGTTGCGAGCACTACTTTGTTAGCCGGCGTTAGCAATGTCCTTCAGTGCGTGTTTTTGAGTTTGTTGTTAGCGCAGTTTGTGAGGTCTTCCTCCTCTGGTCGCTGGCTGATGTACGTCTATGCTGCTGGCATTTGTCTTAGTTCACTGGTGCGCGCCATTGCTACTCCCCAATGGATATTTCATGCTTATTTGATAGCTCTTAGGTGGAAATCAGGAACTCTGGCGGTCATCTATAAAAAGGTGAGAAAACACATGCGACAAGTTGTCTAAGCTCTAATCGACTGAGGGTAATAGTACAACCAAACACACATGTTATCAGGTCAATTACAAATTCAAGTCTCATATTAAATGAGTAGCAACATTCCACCTTGGAATGCGCTCTAACAATTAAGTCTGGAATATCCAGTCTCTTATGTTAAGCCAGTCTGAGCGTATTTCGAGATAGATCCCGCTAACGAGTCCCTACTTACGACCCCAGCGCGTGAGAAATGTGAGAGTGAGAAATGTTAACTTTCAAAATTTTTTAAAGAGCTGAAGTTTGAATAATTAGATTGTATTCGTGCATGCTTCATCGGTAATTATTACAATCAACGGTTACATATCTTTTTAATTCATTATATCTCTGAAACGTAGGTCTTGAGTTTGAATCAGGAGGATTTATTAAATGTAACAAGTGGCTGGATCATTAACCTTGTCGCTGGTGACCTTCAACGTTTTGAACTTTCCGCATTGAGCATATTTCTCCTACCTCAAGCTGTATTAGAAGTGTGTAGTATCTCTTGTCTAATGGTGTACTTCTTTGGGTGGAAATCTCTGTCAGGGGTAGCTTTTATGGTCAGTCTTTCGTTATATTACGGAATAGCCGGACAAGTCAGCTTAAGACTACGAACGAACATTTCTCGTGTGGCGGATCAACGCGTGGATGTGATGAATTCCATCATTTCTGGAATTCGTGCCGTCAAGATGTATGCTTGGGAGGGATCGTTCATGGAAAAAGTCAAACGGCTTCGAAGGTATATTACATAGACATAATTGACTCTTGAGACCCTTTCGCGTTTTTTTTTTTTTCAAGTTCTGACAAAGACCAGTAAACGACAGTCCATTGACACTACTGGGAAGAGGTCATAATAAGGTAACTTATCAAGTTTAAAGGTGACATGTACCTTCTTTCAGACATTTGTATGGTAGGTGGCACCACCACTACCACCACCCACCACCACCATACAATTGTCAGTGTAAAATTGCGCGACTATATGCGGTGCTATATCTTCGTTAGTTTAAAACGAAGTGACTTTCAAACTTGGAAACTTTACTTACTTTAAGCGTTGCTGACGGATGTTCTTCGTTATCTAGTCTCAGTCAAAAGTTGAAAAAACCGTGGAAAGGTCTATTCCAAATTCACTGACCAAATAAATTCCTTCCAAATTGGGTGAGCATATTGGACCCGTCATTTCGCACATGTCTACATCGACTCGATGCAGTGCCAAAATCATCACATGCAGCTATTTCGAGAAAGGTTGTCGGAAAAAATGTGCACGCAACAATCCCGATGATGTCTATCAACTGTTAATGACACTATAGTGTCGAACCCACTTTTGATGCGTTCCTAGTAGCACTCACAAACATTTGTTCCTGCCCTTTCATGCCATTCTTTCAAATTTCTTTGAGAAACAGTGCACTCAAAACCACCCACAATACCTTTCGGGATTGCCGCGTGCACTTTTTCCGACAACCTTTCTCGAAATAGCTGTAGACTATACTGGCTAGGGTAGTCTGCTACAAAGCCGTTTTTAGTGTCGTCACGCAACGCTCCTCTCCACAAACGGCTGCTGAAAAACCGAACTACATTCCTTTCCCTTTGTGTTTGTGGTCTAACGAACAAGCCAATCATGTATAATAGATCTGACAATACGTGAGCCGCAGGGCGCTAGGAAGCGAGCACGCTTCTCAGTTTTCGACAAATCAATCAATCGTCGCTGCATTTAGAAGGGCCCTGTGTTATCAAGCAAGGAAAAGGTTAATTTGCAAAAAAGTTTGTTTTAAGCGGTCAAGAAAGTTCCAAGTGAAAAAAAGGTTTGATAGGCCTGGAAGACTTTTACCAGGATCGGTTGGTTCTTCATTTAACGTGCACATGTACTGATATGTAATGAAGAATTTAATGTGCCGGATGTGCTCATTGTGTTCTGTGGAGACTAAACTCTTCAGGGTACTGATTCAAAAAGCAATCTTATAAATTATCGATGAGCGATTTCCCGAAACAATACCTGGCAACTTTATGAGCACATCCATGTTGTGCATCGCAATTTGCTCGACTTCCTTGCTGCTGCTTCTTATCTCCTAAATTTTGAATAGGACTCGACTACGACAATACTACTGTAGTTAACTGCTTGTTTTCACGCGACGATTTTGATTATTCTGTCATTCACACATAGGGCACCGATAAAAGCAAAGCTGTGATTGGAGGAGTCACAGTACTGCAAACGTGGCGCGAACACCTTCCAGAAAATGGGAGCTGAATTATAATTGGCTAATCACGGGAAAGGAATGTAGTTCGGTTTTCAGCAGCCGTTAGTGGTTGACGACTCTAAAAACGGCAGTGTAGCAGACTATGGCTAGGGGGGACTTGAAATGATACCTAGGCGACTTTTGTCCCTGCGTAACTCCCCCCTCTCCTTTCATTGCGCTGTATTCGTTTTTATTATATCACCAAAGATTTCATTCCAAAAGGAGTCATACCGGTGCGATTTCATTGAAGCTTGATGTATAGTGTGATGTCCAGCAACAGGTATCATGTAAACGAACAATAAAAAACTCATTACAGTTAAGATTCCACCCAGTCCCACTGGACTAGAACCAATGGTGTAAGATGTCGTCGACGCCGTCATAATTCATAGAGATATCGCTACCATTGCCTCCTTCATGAGCTTTCCTAAAACTTATTGGGAACAGGGTCTCATATTACCGGTGCTGGAGACAAGACAGAGAGAGAGCTGGGAACAAGTGAGAAGCGCGTGAGGGGGATGATGGGAACGAGTGCAGAACAGGCCGGGGTACGAAAGGGGTGCCTTTTCTGCTAAACATGGTATATAAAAGGGAAATTTAAGGATTGGACCTCGGGCAGAACCTCCCCGTATAAAACTTTGTTGAGTACCCCTCCGGGTTCAAAATACACCACTATTAAATAACGCTTCCGGTCAATTTTTGCAAATTTTAAGGATACCCGCTCACTTTGGTTTTTTCCAGGACCGAAATCAACCTCATCAGAATGAAAACGGTGATACTGGCTACTTTTGCTTCTCTTTCTTTCTCTTGCCAACTGATTGCGACTTTCATCTCACTGGTCACACTGGCGGCTACTGGAACTGAACTGACTGTGTACAACACGTTTTTGATTGTATCCTTTGTCAACTCATTAAGGACGACCATTTCGTGGAATATTGCAAGACCAATTTATTTATTGGCCGACTTTGCCGCAGCGCTGGCTCGCATCCAGAAGTTTCTCGAATTTGAGAACAAGAACACTCACAGATACCTAAAATATTCCTTCGGCGACGCGATGAATGTAAGAGAGGACTCTAGCAAGCGTTATTACCCATGTTTTGATCACATCAATAAAATAGCAACCCAGTCCAGCAATGATTTTGCTCTGTTACTGAAAAATATCGCATGCAGTTGGACTGGCAAGTGGAATAAGTTAACTTTGAAGTCCTTAAGTTTATCTGTCAAAAATGGTGATCTTGTCCTCATCACCGGTCCTGTTGGTTGCGGCAAGTCGTCCCTTCTGTACGCCATTTTAAGGGAAATTTCTCTCTTGTCTGGCAGTGTATCTTGTCTCGGTAAAATTGCCTGGGTTGGTCAACAGCCTTGGGTGTTCTCGGGTACCGTGCGAGAAAATATTTTGTTTGGTGAAAAATTCGATCCGCACTCGTACCGTGTGACGATCGAGGCGTGTGATTTAATCAGAGACTTTCAAAGATTCCCAGATGGTGATATGACGCTTGTTGGAGAGCGTGGAATAGTACTTAGTGGTGGTCAGCGAGCTCGTGTTGAATTGGCACGCGCAGTGTACTCCAATGCTGATATATATCTTTTGGATGATCCTCTGAGCGCAGTTGATGCAAAGGTTGGGCAGCATATTTTTCAAACCTGCGTCTGTGGGTTATTAAGCAAAAGTACTCGGATAATGGTTACGCATAATCTTCAGGCTTTAAGAGATGCCGAAGACATTGTAATAATGAAAGAAGGTACTATTTCAGCAAGGGGCGATGCTATCTCACTGTGGAAGTCCGACATAGCCATGAATGAAATAAAGAAGTGCACTGATAAGAAGGAAAATTTTGGCACAGCGCAGGAAAGTACATTACCTCCAAACACGTTGGACGATGAAACAATAGTGGACGGAGAATGTGGTCTGGAAAATGCCGAGGAAGATCGTGCAGTGGGTTTTATATCTTGGAAGTTATATTGGAATTATATACGAGCTGGAACGTCTGCCAGTTCAGCTGGGGTCATGTTCGTCTTTATTCTACTTGTCCAAGGTTAAGAGTTGAGTATGAGTTCAGTTATCCTTTAAGGCACCTTTCTCTCCAGGGCATTTCCTTTAGAAAATGGGTGGGGGCGCTGTTACAGTGATATGGGCATCTCCATTCCCAAAACCCAAGTGATATGGCCATCCCCTTCTCATTTTAGCTTAGTGATTGGTGTTAGGGTTACGGTTACAGGAGATGCCCATATTACTAGGGTTTTGGAAATGGGGATGTCCAAAACGCGGAGATTTCATATCACTGTGACAGCGCCGTTCTCATTTTGTATGGAAAAGTCGTGGGGACGAGGTTGCCTTTAAGGAAGTATCTTAAATGATGGCACCTGGGTAGAGGGCACTTCTCATGAAAATAAAGATATAGGGTGTTTACCCAGGAACAGGGTGTGGCCATGGGGCTTGTTAGTTCTCTATATAAAGGTTTCTGAAGTACAGGTGACATCGAATAATAAGGTGCTACATGCTTTAAAGTTACAAACCCTCATACTTCTTTTAGAGATTTAATCCCATGGTGAGTCACTAAAAGTAAGTATTGGCGGTGCCGTTTACAAAAATTCGGTTAGATATATTTTCAAAAGACTGTACTGGCCAGAGCCACAAAATAACGACGAAACGTAGAAAGAACTAAGAAGTTTTAAAATTTACACACGTTCGTGCCAGAGCAATGAAAAAATGATTGTATCCTATTGTTATAAGGCAGTGAATTGGGACTCTTTCCAGTCTTAAGAGAGATTGTCCCTAGATTAGAAAATTAACCATACGCTAAACACAGTCTCTACCTTCTCATTTTCCTTACAGTCATGTCTGGTCAAGCGTACATGCAGACTCGTTCTAGGGACGTCATTATTTGAAAATTTAATCTATTAATTGTTGTGATAGTAGTACGTGTAATTAACGAATGTAATGGATCAAATTATCAGTTTATTAATAGCAGAACCTATGAATGCACGCTTGATCTGGCGAAATTGGCGATTGAAACTGAAGAAAAAGACCTACTAACGAATGAAACTGTCTTCTTTATGTATCGATCATAAAGCATCCCTAGTTCTTCCCGACTGGTGGCTTCTTGAATTGACCAGTAGATCACGTGATTCCCAGCGTCAAAGTCAAGACCTTTCAACATATGGTTACCTGGTTGGTGCAGCCGTCTTACTATCAACCATCAGAGAGGCCACGTTCCTGAACGTGTTGATTAATTCATCGATGAGCCTTCATAACCTAATGCTGTCAGCGGTAGTCAAAGCTCCGGTTTTGTTTTTTGACACCAATCCAGTTGGACGAGTGTTGAACAGGTTTTCCAGAGATATTAACATCATGGAAGAATTACTGCCAGAAGCATTTCTGAGGGCCATGCAGGTAATTCTATTCTGCATTGGAGCAATTACACTTCAATCTGTGTTAATCCCCTGGATAATACTGCCAGCATTCCCGCTCATGGTTACCTTTGCTTTGATTGGTCGATATTACCTCAATCCATCACGTGACTTGAGGCGCATAGAGGGAGTAACCAGAAGTCCAGTGCTATCTCATTTTAGCAACTCTTTGGAGGGACTGGTGAGCATTCGAACTTACATCAAGGAAAACACGTCTATAGAAGCTTTGTACAGGTTTGTGATTATAAGAGACCTTAATTAATTCTCAAGAAAAGGACTACGAGATTTCTCAATAAAACTAAGTGGTGCGCGCGCGTGAACCAGCATCATTTTGGCGGGAAAACGTGATAACTGGCGTCATTCATGTCGTATAATTAGGGAAGCAACCTATCACATGTTAGGAGTTTTGTCATTTTAGTTTCCCGGGGTGTCTTCTCTTTTGATAATGGGCTTGAAAAAAAAAATGAACTCGTCCTCATAGTCACTGACTCGTCCTCGAATCTGGGTTACGACCAGTCCTTTTAGAAGATATTTTGATTACAATAAAAATTTGTCGTTGTTTTCTTCGCGCTAAAATGTTTGAAAATCCAGACGTTTCGGGACTACTGTCCCTTCATCAGTGGAAGATGCCGTTACACTGAACCCGCGTCATTTTATTCAAATGTGGCAACATTTGAAGCGCGCGCTGGAAGAGTTCGCTCAAATAAAATTGAAGTCAAAGTTTATGCCGCGCGGCTGTAGAGTTTTGCATTTAAATATTAGGCGGCCCTCCGCTCTACTTCTATCCCTGGTGTTGTGAAGACCCGCTCGAACAACAGCTACCATCATATCATCAGTTGAGTGACCGGGGGAAGAAAAATGTTTAGCAACGGGTAGGTCAGCTTTCTTTGAGACAGATCTGAGGTGTTCGCAGAACCTGTCCCCAAGCCGATGTCCGGTTTCGCCAATGTACGACAGAGTGCATGCCCAACAAGTTATGATATACACGAGGTTACTTCTCGTGCATGAGAACCTCTGCAGTATGGTCAGAGGTCCACCGGGAGTGTTGATCTGGGAGGCTGGGTTCGTATGGGCACAGGTCTTGCATCGTGGTCGACGGTAGGGAAAAGTTCCATTTGGTTCATCCTCAGTGTTTGCGCCGGATTGAAGGTTGCTGCTGACCAAGGAATCACGCAGGTTGGTGTCGCGGCGGTACGCGCTGAGTACTCGCGAGTTATCAAACAGTTCCTTAGTTTCAGGGTCAGATTTTAAGAGGTCGAAGTTTCTTGATAGGACGTTCTTTACATGGTTGTAGATGGGGTTGTATGTTAAGATTAAGGGGATGACTTCTCTGTTAGATTGTCCGTCGTGAAGTGGTCGTAAGGCTGTATCTCGGGGGATAGTGTCAACGTGTTGAAGGGCTCTATCTACAACTGCTAGTGGATAATCACGTTGCAGGAAGAATGATGCCATTTATTTTCTTTTGGTCTTGTAGTCGGTCTCATCAGCACGTCATCACAATGACGCGCGTTCAGTGTAACGGCATCTTCCACTGATGAAGGGACAGTAGTCCCGAAACGTCTGGATTTTTAAACATTTTGGCGCGAAGAACACAAATACAAATTTTTATTGTAATCAACTTATCAGCACTACACAGTTCCTAACCATGTTTTGTTCCTTTTAGAAGACAGCTACTCGTCGAAACATACGTATATGTAAGGCTTGGCCGGCAAAGTAAAGTGTAACAGGTTTTTCGGGCTTCAGATAAAGAGTCGTGAGAAGTTACGCGTGATACGCTGACGGCTTCCCCCCTCGCTCATGTGCTCTCTCCTGGCGACTCGCTACGCTCTATAGAAATATAGAGCTTTCTCGCAGGCTAACCCGACATGAAAGAACTTATTTTAGTGTAGCAATAATGATAAGTAAACGATATCAGTAACAGGGAACGTTGGTCACGTGGCGTTTGCTCTAAACGTGATTTGGTTGAAACTGGAGTTAAAGCCGGAATATGGGAAATTCTCACTTGGGCTTAAAAGCACTAGTATGAGCCGTTTCTTCGACGAAAAAAGGTATACTTTCGGCTGGAGCATCCCCTCATCTTGTAGACCATTAAAGGGGTACCCAACGGGCTTTAAATGAGATTGAAAGAAAGAAATTCTTTCCTAGATTTCTTCAAAGCGAGTTGATTAATTAGTTTTTAATTTCATTGTTTATCATCAGATACCAGGATGACCACAATCGAGCTAATTTTGCCATTTTTGCAATAGCTAGATGGCTAGGCATACGTCTGGACATGATCTGCGTCATCTTTGCGACATTTGTCATTTATGTTGCAATCATTACTCAGTCTAAAGCAGGTAAATTGAAACAACAAATGGCCAAGTCAAAATGTGCAATATCTAATTTGGAGACTCATGGACTTAACTTTAAATCCGTGAGCCCCAAAATTAAACATTGCAAATTTTGTTAGGCAGGATTTTTGCGCCATATTTTGCGCGATATATTTTACGGTTTTTTTGCTGTTCACACCATAACAGGAACGTGATTTCACCATAATCGTTAGGTATAAAGTTAGTTCCTTAGCTCTATCTTGTTATTCTGCCTAATGAAGCTTGGGGTGTTAGTAGACGAGACCGGTCGAAGAAATTAAAAAAGGTAACAACATGCTCACGTTGCTTCCTACTGCTCACTAGTGTTCAATTGAAAAAAAAAATATGTCATTAAAAATATTTTAAAATACAATAAATTGTACACCTGAGCTCACGATACAGTCACGTGACACTTGTCCGCGGATACCCTATTTTGACAGCTGTCAGTTGCCGTAACATAGGTCCAATAAAAGTGAAACACATATTGTATAGTAAGTTTGACATTTCACAGCCGCTAACATTAAGAGGCAGACGTAAAGAGAGACAAACAGCTACAAACGGATGACTTTGTCACAATCAAAATTTCTTGGATGCATAAATAACCAAAATCTAATATCCATAGTGCTCCACTGTGCACGCTCTGCTGTAAATTGCGATTAGAACTGTAGTTTTTGTTTCGATTTTGGCAGGGATCGCAGCATTATCCATTGTATACGCCCTGCAGTTTGCTGTTGACACGTCTCAGTATGCCGTTAGGATGTGGTCACAAGCTGAAAGTTACATGACATCCGTAGAGCGTGTTGTCAAATACAGTCAAATAGAACAAGAGCCTGGGTACCAGAATCATCGACAGCCTCCAGAACATTGGCCCCAGTACGGTCAATTACAACTAAAAAATGTGGAACTTGTTTACTACCACGGCGGACCCAAAATACTTAAAGGTATCACTTTTACTATTAATCCACAAGAGAAGATCGGAATTGTTGGTCGCACTGGAGCTGGCAAGTCTTCACTGATTGCAGCCCTATTTCGTATGCCTCAACCAACTGGTTACGTCATCATCGATGACGTCAATGTCGGTGATGTTAACATTCAAAGTTCTCGCCAAGCCATAGCGGTTATTACCCAGAATCCAGTGTTGTTTACCGGTACACTGCGAATGAATTTGGATCCTTTTGAGGAACACGAAGACCAGGAAATCTGGAATGCCTTAGAGGATGCGAGTTTGGAAGCCATGGTGAAAAAGCTTCCGATGCAGCTGAACCAGCTGGTGAAAGAAAGTGGAAGTAATTTCAGTACCGGAGAAAGGCAACTTTTGTGTCTGGCCCGTGCGTTATTGCGGAAGAACAAAATTATTGTTATGGATGAAGCAACGGCAAATGTGGATCACAAAACAGATCAGTTAATCCAGGAAACACTTCGCACGAAATTTAAGCATTGTACGGTGATTACAGTTGCTCATCGATTAAACACAATCATGGATTATGATCGAATTTTGTTTCTGGATCACGGAAGAGTTGTAGAGTATGACAAACCAGAAATTTTACTTCAGAATGAAGGAGGATATTTTTCTAGACTTTGTCGTAACTATGATGATAATGCCGACCAGTAAGAACTGAATATTGAGTTGAACCATATCCCACAAACATTTGGCGAGTTTTAGTTACTAATCCTTCGAAGGATAGTTATTTATAGCAACGATTGTCTCAATCCCTGAAATTTCTCTTTTTTACTTAATTACCATATCTTTTGGATGTGAGCAGCCCTAATATCTAGGAATGAGAAGAAAAATACTTAGATTTCTGGGATTGGGCTGATGGGGAGATTTAACCAAATGAGAGGTCCTGAATATTTTATGGAATACCTGCCAAATCGAGGAGTTTCAAATATCGGTCTTGTAGCTCTATCTTTGAGCATCTGGACTTTTTAAGAAAGACATAGGTTGCTCACCTTTTTCTGTAAACCGATCAAATAAACATGATTCTTAAAGTCTGAAGTAAAAATTTTGTGCTGTCAATTTTCTTATGGTTCATGGGCACCCAGCTTCCTTTAGAAGCCTGTTAACGTTAAAACTTTGGAGCTGTTGTAAAAACTATTGATGTGTTCGGATATCATAGCGTGTTTTAGTTTAGTCGTCTTGAACATTTTAGTTGGCTCTTTCGTCTCATCCGGATCTCTAAGCTGCCCTGATGGATCATCTCAAAAGTTCCTGGGCATGATTATTAAGTACAGCCGTACTTTCGTTAGAATGTTCTAAGGGATATTTCTTTTACTTTTATACCGAAATTTCCAGGAATCCTTCCGTTTATTCTTACAATAATTGCAATATCTTGGTACTAATGTGAAAAACGCAACCTCCGAAAATCGCGGGTAAGTTACGAGGGTCTATATTTAGCCTTTCTCGAGCTTTAAACCTTTCAAGTCAAAATTTGCCCCTTCGAAAACTTTTTTTCACAGGAAATAGTAGGTAGCTGGTAGAGCAGTTTGTAAATTATCGCTTTGTACTGCCTTGGTGAATAAACTCAAAGAAAAAAAAAAGGACTAGTCTTCGTAGCTAGAGCATCTGCATTAGTAACCAGTAGGTCATACGGTAGATCCCTGTCAGGAAAACTTGTTTTAATTTTTTGTTTCTTTCTTTCTTTTCCGAGTGGTCTGTGACTAGACGGATCTCAATCTCAAACGGCCTAAAAATTAACCGTCAACGGTCAAAAAGGTTACATTTTACCATCAAACGTCAAAAATGCAAGTTTGATTAAAGGTCAAAAAGTTTAAGGTATCTCACTGATTTTACTATTTCAGGTGATCTTCACAAATATCAGGAGATTCTGGCTAAGAAGAATCTCTTAACTGTAAAACTCACTTCCCATATTCTCAAAAACACACTCTTTAGACATTAATTTACAAGGCCTTGCAACTTGCTTATATCTAAAAAATTTGTCGGGACAAAAATACGTGACAAAATGGTATATAAATACAAAAGATAAAAACAAAGGAAAATGTGCCTTAACATGAAAATTGATCAACTTGATTTTTTGCTATTTTGGTTGGTTTTGGTCGAGCATAGTAGCATGTTTCGCCAGGCACGTTTCAGGTCACGTTTGTTAGGTACTATAAAAGATGATGTCGAGCTTGAGGGCTCAGTTTGGCTCTCTCATCGACACGGAAAGATTGTAACAATCCCAAGCATCAGTATTCAGTACGTAATCGAGAATGTCTGCCTCAAGAGAGGTGAGTATCACCTACAATTTTCATTTTATACAAGAGAGAATGAGCTCATTCCTTCAAACAATGGATTTGCACCAAATTTACTCCATCACAGCAAATATGTTGCAAAACTTTTAAAGCTGACTGAAAAAGATGGTAAATTCTACATGTACATACCGGTCAGTATCTCATGTAAGAGGGAGAATCAAGAAAAAAACATAGAAAAACATGGGAAAACAGGGGTAATCGGGGAAAAACATGGAAAAACATGGGGAAACAAGGCAAACATAGGGAAAACAGGAGAATACATAGAAACATGAAAAATTCTATATAGGGGACATAATATGGAGTCTTACATGAGATACTAACCTACATACCAATTTACAAGGAGTTGTAAATTACAGAGAGAAAGAGAGAAAGACCTTTAATTATTCGGATCAAAGTAGCCCATTCAGACGCCTTTCAGGGGCTTATTTTGCTGAATGCACTGCTGTTAATTTGTACCCCAAGAAAAATAAAAATAATGAAACTAATAAGACGACAACTGGGCTTTTTATTTTACCATCTTTGTCCCGTTTACCCCTCGTTTTGCACATTTCATGAAATGTTTGTCAGCCAGGGACAAAACTCCGTATTTAGCGGCACTTTAATTTAGCGAATTTTTCGTATATTTTGGCTCATGAGTCACTTAATTTTCGCCATTTACAAACTGAAATTAAGGTATTCACAACTTTTACGACGACAATTTAACATAAATGTATGTGATTAATATCGTAAAAGTCAGTAGCTTCATTTAAATCAAAATTATACAACGTTCTGAAACTTAATTTTGAACGTAACAAACCAAACTGCAACTGTAATAAAATATCTTAATGCTGTCCTCACTCATATTTTTCGGTACATTGTCACAAAAAGTCAATGATACACGTTGAATTTCATGTTGTACTCACTTTAATTTTTAATAGCGATGGTTTAAATTTAGTGACACTTAATTCTGGTGCACTTTAATTTAGCTATTTTTAGAATAAACGCCAAATTCGCTAATTTTTCAGTGTCGACAAAATTTCATAAAATAAGGTAACTATCAGCTTTCATCTTCTCTTAGTTCCTGCAACAAGAAGTGACGCAGAAACGCCAGGCGAATAACCTTTACGAAGAGACTCATAAAGGTATGGCGATCCATCTCTCTTTACCGGAATATAATCTTAATAAGGGAGAAATACAATCTGATATGTTTATTTTTCCATCAGTTTAGCTACAATCGATCGTTTTCTGGGTCCTAAAACAGACCAGGGACCGTGGGGTTAACTCGCGCGCACGCGCAAAGCGAAACCCTCCAATTTGTATACGGAACAACGAAACAATCTTTTTCACCTTTTCTGACATTGTTCAAAATTTATTACGTTTCGGGAAAATTTGGCTGATAATCTTGTGGATTGTGATTTTATACCTCGAGACTACTCAAAAGATATAGCAATTTTTTGGGCCTAAAGCCCCATAGTTCTAAAATTGTTCTTCAGGCACTTCTTTTGTTTTCTGCTAGACACCATCTATAGGGTTGTAGAACCAATAACAAGAGCAGCTAAAAATGTTTTTGAAGGTTCTTAAGTTCCAATATAAAAATTAAATCCTACAAACAAGTCTCTGTGTTGAAGAAATGGTATCCTTTGGTCCCTCTCCTCATCAGTAACTGTTAGCTGGCAAATTAGTAATCTTTCCCAATGACCTGCTAACTCGGAGAGAGGACATCGTTTATTCAAACATGAATTACAGTCAACTCGCTCTTAACGGACACCTAGAGTTGGTCCCTACCTTTCTTTACTCCCTTTAAGTTCGGACTCTACATAAGACGGACATCTCTCTAAGACGTACAGTGCCGGTCGCAAAGGCGTCTCATATTACAGAGTCAACCGGTAGCTAGCAAGCTATTTATTTCTTCATTGTAATGCTTGCTACTGAAGTCGCTTTTTCAACAAACATTTGAAGGAATTGTGTACAACACTTTTCTCTTAGGGATATGTTATTTTCTTCTTATTGTTATTGTTTTCCGTCTTCACTTATTCGCCTTTCTTCCTTTCTTTTTTCTTTTTGTATTGTGTACTGTAGTGTAATTTATCGGTGCAGGGACCCCTGAATTGGTGTAATCAGTTTACCACTAAACTGTTGTTAATAAACATGTTGTACTGTTTGTGGAGTCATTAATGAAGTTATTAAAAAAAAATGAAATAGAATTTGAAAAGGACAGTGCACAACTGTGAAAACTGTCACATCCGCATTTCGAAAACAAAGCAGTGGGTTTCTAATTTAAATGCATGTGTGCAGTAATATTATATTTAAAAACGTTGAAATTAATTCCGACCTTTTCAAGGTTGAAATTTACAAGTATTGCCTAATTAAAGTCAGTTTTTTTAAATTGACTTTTTTTATTTCCAAGGTTCTATGTCTGGAGAGTCTGAGGCGCAGAATATTTTTCCTGCTGCTTTTACCTTGATGGAACACACCCCAGAATCATCCAATCTACAGGATCCGCGAGGTCTTGAAGGATTCCTCACATATAAGTTCTATCGGTACTAATCCAACCAAGCTTTTAAGCGGACAAGTTTGAATAATTTCTATAATAAATTGTGTTAATAATAATAATAATAATTTATAGTTACTTTAGTGTTAAAGTTTATAGTGTAATGTGATGTAATGTAGTTGCAATGTATTGTAGTGCAATACTCTGCAATGCCAATTTTGTAACGTTATTATTGTAACGCTGTGGAGTATTTAACAAGTTATGAAACTGGTTCCAATGATGAGCTTTCGCGGTATTATCTAACAAAAAAGAAGAGTTGGACTGGACTCTGGAACCTCGACTAGATTGAAAAGGACTTGACGTCTTATTTTTGTTAGTTTTTCGACCTTGGAAAACTTTCTTGACATCTCCGGAAAAGGTCGTGAGAAAAATGAAAATAATGCCTGAACTCCAAGATGGCCAGTTGGGAACCAGTCCAGTCCAAAGTCCGGAGTCAAGTCTTTCCAACTGCCCTTGGTTTAACTGAAAAATTCCATAGTTCTATAGTATCTAGAGACACAACTGATGAAGTTTGAAACAATCTGATATCTTTCTTACAACAGGCAATGAGCCCAATTCTCTCGTCAAATTTACCCTTTATCAGCACATTTCCAAAGTAGATAAGGGCATGTGCCATTCACATTCGTGGATTTTTCGTCTCATCCGGATCTCTAAGTTGCCCTGGTGGATCATCTCGAAAGTTCATGGGCATGATTAAGTAGCTGTACTTTCGTTAGAATATTCTTAGGGGTATTTCTTTTTTATACACCGAAATTATCAGGAATCCTTCCGTTTTTCTTACAATAACTGCAATATGTTGATGCTAATGTGAAAAATACAACATCCGAAAA